AGTACTACTCTTTCTCTTCTTATCATCCCAATCCAGCCCAATCTATAGTACTACTCTACCTCTTCTGATCAGCCCAATCCATATGTGATATGTAATTAATTTTTACTACTCTTCAGCCACTTCCTCTCAACACGTAATGGTATCACTCATAGAGTTTGGCCAGCCTGTTTGGGGTCTAGCAAGAAAATTGCAAAGACTTGAAATGGGGTCCAATTTATCATCTTTTTTGACAAATATATTTGATTTGATATACGAGAATATCATCATTTTTTGGTCAATTTTTTAATAGACATAATATACGTTTATGATAAGAATTATTGTGTTTATCTTCAATTTTTTTTTTTTATTATCTTTAGCCCCTACTTTTCAATCCTTAGTACGCCCTGATTGGAAAATCATTTGTCCGTGGGGATTTATTGTGCAGTGCTGTGGCTAGATTCATTCAATACTCTTGGAGATTTGACTTACTTATGTGTTGTTTACTATTATGTCACATTAATGGTTTGCATTGTCCCTGCTTCAATTAATAGAACTATTGGCGTGATGTGGTGGCAGCCTCTCTTTATATAGCCAGGTTTCATCCAACAATGCCATGGATGAGGAAACTCTATTTGCAGGTGATTTTTAATTTTTATCTCCTGAAAATTTTGATTTGATATACGATAACATCATCGTTTTTTGGTCTCCTAATTGGAAAATCATTTGTCCGTGGGGATTTATTATGCAGTGGTGTGGCTAAATTCGTTCAATACTCTCCGAGATTTGATGTACTTCTTTGTTGTTTACCATTATGTCACGTCAGTGGCTTGTATTGTCCATTCAATTAATAAAATTATTGTTCTTATTTGCAAAGACGCTTTTGATGGTGTGGGCGTGATGTGGTCATTACCTCTCTTTATATAGCCAGGTTCATCCAACAATGCCATGAATCAGGAAACTCTATTTAATTTTGATTTGATACACAAGAACATCATCATTTTTTGGTCTATTTTTTAATATACATAATATATGATTATGATAAGAATTATTGTGTTCATCTTCAAATTTTTTTATTATCTTTAGCTCCTACTTGGCAATCCTGACTGTGCCCTGATTGGAAAATCATTTGTTCGTCGGGATTTATTGTGCAGTGGTGTGGTTAAATTCATTCAATACTCTCGGAGATTTGACGTACTTATGTGTTGTTTACTATTATGTCACATCATTGGTTTGTATTGTCCCTTCAATTAGTCGAACTATTGTTCTTATTTGCAAAGTTGCTTTCGATGGTGGGCGTGATGTGGTGGTTACCACTCTTTATATAGCTAGGTTCATCCAACAATGCCATGAATTAGGAAACCCTATTTACAGCTGATTTTTAATTTTTATCTCCTAAAATTTTGATTTGATATAGAGAACTTCATCATTTTTTGGTTTATTTTTTAATATACATAACATATGTTTATGATAAGAATTATTGTGTTCATCTTCAAATTTTCTTATTCTTTTTAGCCCATACTTTGCAATCCTAAGTGCGCCCTGATTGGAAAATCCTTTGTCCGTGGGGATTTATTGCGCAGTGGTGTGGCTAAATTCATTCAATACTCTTGGAGATTTGACGTATTTATGTGTTGTTTACTATTATGTCACATCACTGGTTTGTATTGTCCATTCAATTAATAGAACTATTGTTCTTATTTGCAAAGGCGCTTTTGATGGTGGATGTGATGTGGTCGCTACCTATCTTTATATAGCCATGTTCATCCAACAATGTCATGGATCAGCAAAATTCTATTTATAGGTGATTTTTAATTTTTATCTCCTGAAAAATTGATTTGATATACGAGAACATCATCGTTTTTTGGTCTATTTTTTAATATACATAATATATGTTTATGATAAGAATTATTGTGTTCGTCTTCAAATTTTCTTATTATCTTTAGCCCCTACTTTGCAATCTTAACTGCGCCCTGATTGAAAAATTATTTGTCCTTAGGGATTTATTGTGCAGTGGCGTGGCTAAATTCATGCAATATTCTAGGAGATTTGACGTACTTATGTGTTGTTTACTATTATGTCACATCACTAGTTTGTATTGTCCATTCAATTAATAGAATTATTGTTCTTTTTTGAAAGGACGCTTTCAATGGTGGACATGATGTGGTCGCTACCTCTCTTTTTACAGCTAGGTACAACCAACAATACCATGGATTTGGAAACACTATTTACAGGTGTTTTTAAATTTTTATCTCCTGAAAATTTTGATTTGATATACGAGAACATAATAGTTTTTTGGCCTATTTTTTAATATACATAATACATGTTTATGATAAGAATTATTGTGTTCATCTTCAAATTTTCTTATTATCTTTAACCCCTACTTTGTAATCCAGACTGCGCCCTGATTGGAAAATCATTTGTCCATGGGGATTTATTGTGAAGTGGTGTGGCTAAATTTATTCAATACTCTTGGTGATTTGACGTACTTATGTGTTGTTTACTATTATGTCACATCATTAGTTTGTATTGTCCATTCAATTAATAGAACTATTGTTCTTATTTGCAAAGACACTTTCGATGGTGGACGTGATGTGGTCGCTACCTCTCTTTATATAGCCAGGTTCATCCAAAAATGTCATGGATTGGAAAACTCTATTTATAAGTGATTTTTATTGTGATGTGGTATGGCTAAATTCATTCAATATTCTCGGAGATTAACGTACTTATGTGTTGTTTACTATTATGTCCCATCAGTGGTTTGTATTGTCCATTCAATTAATAGAACTATTGTTCTTATTTGAAAAGACGCTTTCAATGGTGGACGTGATGTGGTCGTTACCTCTCTTTATACAGCCAGCTTCATCCAACAATACCATAGATCAAGAAACTCTATTTATAGGTGATTTTTAATTTTTATCTCCTGAAAATTTTGAATTGATATACGAGAATATCATCGTTTTTTGGTCTATTTTTTAATATACATAATATATCTAGCTTTATGATAAGAATTATTGTGTTCATTTTTTAAAAAAATTATATTATTTTTAGCCCCTACTTTATAATCCTGACTACGCACTGATTATAAAATCATTTGTTTGTGGTAATTTATTGTGATGTAGTGTGGCTAAATTCATTCAATATTCTCAGAGATTTGACGTACTTATGTGTTGTTTACTATTATGTCACATCATTGGTTTTTATTGTCCAATCAATTAATAATACTATTGTTCTTATTTGAAAAGACGCTTTCAATGATGTACGTGATATGGTCGCTAGCTCTCTTTATACAACCAGGTTCATCCAACGATACCATGGATCAGGAAACTTTATTTACAGGTGATTTTTAATTTTTATCTCCTGAAAATTTTGATTTGATATACGAGAATATCATCATTTTTTGGTCTATTTTTTAATATACGTAATATATCTAGCTTTATGATAAGAATTATTGTATTCATCTTCAAAAAAATTTATACGATTTTTAGCCACTACTTTACAATCCTGACTGCACCCTGTTTGAAAAATCATTTGTTCGTGGGAATTCATTGTGATGTGGTGTGGCTAAATTCATTCAATATTCTCGGAGATTTGATGTATTTATATGTTGTTTACTATTATGTCACATCACTGGTTTGTGTTGTCCATTCAATTAGTAGAACTATTGTTCTTATTTGTAAAGATGCTTTCAATAGTGGACGTAATGTGGTCGCTACCTTTCTTTATACAGCCAGGTTCATCCAACAATACCATGGATTAGGAAACTCTATTTACATGTGATTTTTAATTTTTATCTCCTGAAAAATTTGATTTGATATACGAAAATATCATTGTTTTTTGGTCTATTGTTTAAAATACATAATATATCTAGCTTTATGATAAGAACTATTGTGTTCATCGTCCAAAAATTTTATATTATTTTTAGCCCCTACTTAACAATCCTGACTGTGCCCCGATTGAAAAATCATTTGTTCGTGGGAATTTATTGTGATGTGGTGTGACTAAATTCATTCAATATTCTCGGAGATTTGACGTACTTATTTATTGTTTACTATTTTGTCACATCACTGGTTTGTTTTGTCCATTCAATTAATAGAACTATTGTTCTTATTTGAAAAGATGCTTTCAATGGCGGACGTGATGTGGTCGCTAACTCTCTTTATACAGCCAGTTTCATCCAACAATACCGTGGATCATGAAACTTTATTTATAGGTGATTTTTAATTTTTATCTCCCGAAAAAATTGATTTGATATATGAGAAAATCATCGTTTTTTTGGTCTATTTTTTAATATACGTAATATATATTTATGATAAGAATTATTGTGTTCAACTTCAAATTTTCTTATTATCTTTAGCCCCTACTTTGCAATCCTGACTACGCCATGATTGGAAAATCATTTGTCCGTGGGGATTTATTGTGCGTTGGTATGGCTAAATTCGAACATTCAATACTCTTGGAGACTTGACTTACTTATATGTTGTTTACTATTATGTCATATCAGTGGTTTGTATTGTCCATTCAATTAATAGAAATATTGTTCTTATTTGCTAAGATGCTTTCGATGGTGGATGTGATGTGGTCGTTACCTCTCTTTTATAGCTAAGTTCATCCAATAATGTCATGGATTGGAAAATTCTATTTACAAGTGATTTTTAATTTTTATCTCTTAAAAAATTTGATTTGATATATAAGAACATTATCATTTTTTTGTCTATTTTTTAATATTAGTAATATATTTAATTTTATGATAAGAACTATTGTGTTCATCTTTAAACTTTTTATTTTTAATCCCTACTTTACAGTTTTGACTGCACCCTGAATGAAAATTCATGAATGAAAAATTATTTATTCGTGGGAATTTATTGTGATGTGGTATGGCTAAATTCATTCAATACTATTGAAAATTTTCTGCTACTAACCTCTTATTTACTATTATGTCCCATCAATTGTTTGCATTGTCCATGCAATGATGTGGTCACTACCTCTCTTTATATAACTAGGTTCATCCAACAATGCCATTAATCATAACCCTCTCTCTCTCTCTCACACACACACACACACACGCACGCAGTACGTCTCTCTCTCTCTCTCTCTAAAATGGCCTGTACAGCTTCACTGGTTCCTCAACGTTGTCCCAGCATTCCTCTCCATGCATCCAATATACCAGAATCAAGTATGTCCATTCCAGCAAATTACGCCTACAGGCCCTACACCACAGACCCCAATGAACCAGTTGGTTCAGAGCCTGGAGATTCAATCCCCATCATTGATTTTTCCTTACTCACCTCCAGTGATCCTGATCAACGATCCAAAATAGTCCAAGACCTGGGCAAAGCCTGTGAAGAGTGGGGCTTCTTCCTGGTACTATATATATATTCATGAACAATCCAATCACACAATTTCAAATTTTTTTGTTATATTATGTGGTTGTGAATTGAGTAAGATTGATCTGATGGGTTGTTCAGGTGATCAATCATGGTGTGGGGGAGAGGCTGATGAAAGGGATGATGGACGCGTGTAACGAGTTCTTCAATCTAACGGAGGAGGAGAAGCGGGAGTACCAAGGGAACCACGTGTTGGATCCCATCAGGTTTGGGACGAGCGTCAATGCCACGGTGGATAAGGTCTTCTTGTGGAGGGATTACCTCAAGCTTTTTCTGCATCCACATTTTCACTCTGTCAACAAACCCATGGGATTCAGGTACAAAATCCTGATTGAATATTTATCGAACATATGAATAATGAATTGTTTAATTAAATAATTTTTAATTTATTTATTTATATTAATTAAAAATAAATAAAAATAATTATTTATTCATTTGTTATATAATTGGTCAATTAAAAAAGTAAGTTTAATAATTCACTGTAAATATTCAGTATAATAATTATTTTCCTTCCTAATTATATATGTATATGGATGGTTATTCTGGCCCATTTATTAACTTGATACTCCGTATTAGATTACAAGGTTTGAAGAATAAGTAAAGATTTTATTTTATTTTTTTTAAGGCAAGATGTATTAGAAGTTAAAATAGTAGATGTATAGAGTCGAAACCTAATACTCCACGAATTACGTGAGACACTAATTCACTGGATAATCGAGACATTTAAATGAGTGAAGATGAAATATTACTACCTTATTTGGATAATCGAGACATTTAAATGAGTGAAGATGAAATATTACTACCTTATTATTTTTGTGAATAAGTTGGAAATTTAAATACACATAAGAGTATACTTCAAAATTCACCTGAGACACTAACTCAGAATTATTGAGATATATGCAATGAGTAAAGATGAAATATACCATCTTAATGAGTATTATTAAGATGAAATATACCATAAGATGAATATACCATCTTAATGAGTATTATTAAAATAGTAGATGTATAGAGTCGAAACCTGATACTTCAAGAATTACGTGAGACACTAAATCACTGGATAATCGAGACATTTAAATGAGTGAAGATGAAATATTACTACCTTATTATTGTTGTGAATAAGTTGGAAATTTAAATACACATAAGAGTATACTTCAAGATTCATTTGAGACACTAACTCAGAATTATTGAAATATATGCAATGAGTAAAGATGAAATATACCATCTTAATAAGTATTATTTTTGTAAATAAGTTGCAAATTTAAATACACTACTGTACGACACATTGAAGGAAAATGATAAACATCATCAAAGAACTTTCATAATGTTTATCACCAAAAACGTGGCACCAGTTTGCCACTTCTTCGTTTTTATTTATTTCCTTCTTTTTATTTAGGCTAATTGTTTTTCTGATATTAATGAAAAAAAAAAAAAAAAAATAGTTTCATTCCCTATGATTCAAATTTGATTAAAAAAAAAAGTCAATAAATTAAACATTATTATGAAAAAAATAATACTAATAATATTATGATGAAAAAAAAAATGTATTGAATCATTCTTTGTCCATTTTTTTTAATCAGTTTTAAAATTTTACTTTTTTAGAATACATTCGATTTTAGACTATGAAAAAGAGATGAGAATTTGGCCCACAAGAGGCATTCACATAACATTCAAAAAAAAAAAGGGGGCTAAAATCATTCTTGTTACCAAATAATTTGACCTACAAAATTCAATATTCAAATTATAAAATTTATTGATGATGCGTATCACTGCTCACATTTAATCAGCCTATCAGTTTAAATTTTCACGATAATTAGGAGCAATACAATTAAGTCAAATCAAAAATTTATTTGTCCTTGTCTGTGTCCGTACATTAATTCCATCCACAATCTTTTCTCTTCATGTGGTTGAGTTATTTCTTTCCATCTTTCATCGTACCGAATGTCATTCTCCTAGCACAAAATTACAAAAAGACGAGAAAGTGAAGTGGTAGGTGGTGACAAATTGTTAGATAATTTTGGACCACTTCATTTAATTTAAATGTTTTAATTTTAATTTTTTATAAAATATTTTATATTCGAACAAGCGGGTGTCAATGGCTCCAACTTTCCAAACACTACACACTCTACTTGTCACCACAGTACTCACTTCATTTGTGAGATTCTTTTTCATATCTAATAATGACAATAGTTTTGGACAATACTTCTCAGAGTTGCACAAAAATCCAATCCTCATTTATAGTATTATTCACTTGGTCCCCCTCGTATCGAAGAAGTCCTTTCATCTTGTTATGTGTCTCAAAATTATAGCTATTTCAGCTTTATTATAATCTTTTAAAAAATAAAAAAATTGTTATTATTATATTTATTCCCTTTCTCCTCTCTCTTCTTTCATATCTTTATCATTCTATTTTTTCCACCTCTTACACCCCATCCTCTAACCATGACCATCTTCACCTCTTACACTCCACCCTCTAACCATGGCCTTCATCCCTTCCCTCTCAACCTTCTATCAACCTTCTACCATTATCCCCACTCTACCAACCATCATATTTATAGACGTATATATCATGGTAAGGCTGTGTACTTAAACACATATGTATAAATTTAATTTGAACAAAACCAATATATTCAAGCAAATATACTTGTGAATCAAAACATATATATAAAATCATACATTGTTCTTCTTTGTTAAAAATCTTTTAATTTTTTTTGAACTAGTTTTCATCACGTTTGATTTATTTTGAGGGTTGATTAATATTCTATAAACAAAACAGATTATTTAGAAGAATTGACAAATACCGCCTTAATTAGTTTTAAATGATTAATAACTATACTTTCAAACATCAACATTTTAAGACTCATAATTAGTGGGAATTTGGATTCTACTCTCACACACACCTATAGTACCTATATATATATATATACACACACGTATATTTATATATATACAAAGGTCCTATAGTACCTTATATATATATATATATAAGGTACTATAGGACCTTTGTATATATATAAATATACGTGTATTAGTAATTACATGGTGTAACAATAAAAATTTGAATCTGAATTTTTAAACAACATATTGTACGTGCAAGTTATGTCTCCTATCTTTTCCGGCTACAGCTGCTCTCTTTTTAAAGGGTTCTCAATAGAAGAGCATTTATCATTTTCAGATCCTGTAATTTCGAGAGCCTAGGTAGCCCTTTACATAGAGGTTTGTATATATATATATATTGACTTCTACTAATTAAGTTTATTATTTTAATGCAGTGACCTTTCCTTGGAGTACTCTAAGAGAACCCGAAAAGTGGCAGTTGAATTAGTTAAAGGGATATCAGAGAGCTTAGGTCTAGAAGAAAGCTACATACACAAAGCCTTGGATATGGACTCAGGCTTACAGATTTTCGTGGCAAATCTGTACCCGCCTTGTCCACAGCCTGAACATGCCATGGGCATCCCTCCTCACTCCGATCATGGTGTCTTAACCCTCCTAATACAGAACGAAATCGGAGGCCTACAAGTCCAACATAATGGCAAGTGGGTCAATGTCAATCCCCTTCCCAACTCCTTTCTCGTCAACACCGCGCATCACCTTGAGGTGCAACATTGTTTATTTTTACAAATGTTAGTATTAAGATTACATCCTCTCTAATAGCTTAAATGTTTTCGATACAGATATTGAGCAATGGTAAGTATAAGAGTGTTCTGCACAGAGCAGTTGTGAACAACAAAGCTACTCGACTCTCCCTTGCCATGGGCCATGGACCGTCGCTCGATGCAGTTGTGGGTCCGGCAATGGAATTAGTGAACAGTGAAACTCATCCAGCTGCATGTATTCCAATGAAGTATAAAGACTATCTAGAGTTGAAGCAAAAGAACCAGCTTGATGCCAAGTATGGCTTGGAAAGTGCTTAAATTGTGTAATTAAGCAATTAAACTACTTGCATTGCATGCATATCTGTGTACACATATTTTCAATAAAGTTGCATGTACTCTCATAAAAAGAAAAATGTCGAAGTAATAAATGTAATTTTCCATTTTCATGACCTTCATTATGCGAGCTTGTTATTTATTTATTTATTTGTTTGTTTAACTTAATTTTCATTTTCATGACCTTCACTATGATGGATGATCCATCATGCTCTGTTATCCGAGCTGGGTCATCTCCAACGGCCACTTGGTTTGAAAGGTTGGGCCCTGGATTGTCTTTTCTTCGAACTTAGGCTCTTCTTCTGTAAAGCTTTTTTTGGGCCTAGGCCCGTGTTTTAGTTAATATTTTCTCATGGGCTTCACTCACTGCTGTTCGTGATTAGCCCATTTTCTTCTGGCCTGATTGCCTGACCTTTAAAAAAAAAACGCAAAACTCGGCTTAGATGGTTGTAGCAATGTAGCCTCCAACGGTCTATTTTTTATTCTTGGGTGGGCATGTTGTAGATTGGGCTTCTGGGTCCAGCTAATCCTTGGGCTTGTAATGTATTTGGTTAGCATTGGGCTAACTCTTCTCTTGTATATTGTTGGTGCATATATATATATAACTTGAAATTTACCTTTCAAAACTCAATTAACATTAGTTTTTACAATTTGAATCCCGCACATTCTACTTGTAATATATTTTTTATGTTGCATTTAGAGCATTCAATCAGTGCTTTGAATTTGGTATTGGGGAAATTTTAATTCTATTCAAAATATTAACTAAATTTTTTTCAGTTCCAAATTCACATCGTTAATTCGGTGCTCACAAACATAAGCTTATCAATTTTCAGGAGCGGGTTACTGGGTTTCACTGTATCAAGCCAAGATTGTTAATTCTCAAGGCTAATGCTTAAAGACGACATCATCTAAAAACTTAATTGATTTTGAAAAACTAAAACTATTTCAAGACACTCACATCACAATACTTGTGTAAGTGTGCTAACTAAACATGTTTTTAATTGATGTGATTTTTAGTCCCACCTCAATTTGCTTAAATATGTTAAACGATGTTTTTAGTCTCACATCAGTTTTGAGTTAAAAAGAATCATGTATATACCAACTCCCTATAAAAATAAAGGCCTAACAAATTAATAATTATACATTTTTCGACCTTTTTGACTAGCTAGTTACATTTGGGATGAGTTTGTATGTGGTTCAAAAAGCATTAGTCTAGTCACATCAATTTGTTGCCATCCCTGACTATGTAACATTTTGTATTGCAAAAATGTCACTGATTTGACTCCAAGGGATGGACCAGGGATGGCAATAGGGCTGGGCGGATATTTCATTGCCCATCCCTAGTCAAGTTTTTTACCTCCATCCCCACCCTCATACCAATTTAATTTTCAATCCCCTTCCCCGTCACCACCTTCAGCATATCTAAAATGAAGTCAAATTGATTAAATTAAAAACAAGCTTAAGATTGCACAAAGCCACAGATTAATCTCATTTTATTTCAATAAATTGGTTGTCAGCCAAACAAACCCTATGTTGCATGCACACAAGGTATAAAACACTTGAGACTGCACGGCTTAATTATTTCATAAAGAAATTAAAAACAAATTGAGATTATTTCTTTTTTCAATACCAACCCTGTTATGGGGAAGTGGGGTACATGTATTGCATGTATTTAAAACATATCAAGAAATTTTTCCATGTATACTACTTTTCTTCATCTTCATTTATCTTAATCTTATCAATAACTGGCTCAACAAATGTCTCCAAGTCTTTCAAGTCGTGCTTCAATTCATCAACCTGTGAATTCAAGTAGATAAAAACTACAAGTCAAAAAACAACACACACACACATATTAACTCCGTTTGTTTCGACGTAAAATATTTTTTTTCAGGTAGAATGTTCTTTTATTTTTACTATATCAGTATTTGGCAACGGTCTACGTCGAAATTAAGGTCGAGTCTATTATGCGGGACATGTAAAATAACTTGTCGAAAATTGATCCATAAGTTACTTTTGTTAAATTTTAATATATTTTTTTTCGTAAATATTTTACGACAACCACATACCAGAAAATAAAAAAATATTTCACGTCCAAACAAACGGAGCCTAAAAGTGTTTAAAATTAAGCAATTGGTTCTTGCTGCACAGTATTCTCAAATAAACATTGATGATCATGATAATATGATATGCCCTCTTGAAATTACTTGTTCTCTTCCAATTCTATTGCCAAAAAGTTAATCCAAGAGTGTTTTTAAAAGAAAAAACAATTTAATGCGTGTGAAAACTGAAAACACAGTACTTTGTGAATAAGATCTAGTACTTGTTGAGCATCCTTTGCTGTGACACTAGATACATGTTCTATGCACAATGCTGCATCCTTGAGTTTGCCATTGAACGGAATCTTATTAGCCACCTCTGCTGATATCTTCTCAGTTGTAGTCGCCACCTTTTCGATCTCCTCTGCCACATTTTCCACCTCTTCCACAACTTCCTCTGCCTTCCCTAAATTGTATAAATTAACAAGTTTCAGTCCAATTCCATTAGAAATCAACAAAGAAATTTCCTTAACTTTTAGATTGTGAGTGTAAGGACTGATTTTTTTTTTTTTTTTCATTTGTTGAATAATAATAATAATACTAATACTAATTCTCAGCTTGTTTCAGGCAACAGAAGCAGACCATGGATTATATGGTGATAAATATATATACCTTCCAACCTTAGCAGAGTTTTCAGTTTTTGCTGCCAAAAACGTAGTAGAAAAGTCAATACAGAGCCAAAAATCCATTTTGCCCTGCGAAACACAGTTCCTCTCAGCTCTTTCTCCCAAATATGTATATATTAAAAATACAATCTTTTAATGAAGGAACAAACATGAAAATGTCTCAATAAACATCAAAGAGTGCGTTCGGAATTAGCTACATATCCTAAACGATTTCTTGCCAAGTTTTATTACAACATAAACACATTCTTCACTTTCAATTTCAAGGGATAGTCATTGTCAATATTGACTCTTCAACAATTATTACTCTGTCAAGCATGTTTCTTTTAAATTTAAATAATAATTAACAATAACAAGCTTAATTCTCTTTTCTATTTCATGTAGAGACAGAACAAGAAATCAATTTGAATCCTGTTAGTTAAACCAAATGGTATAATTGATCTCTCATTCTTAAAGGAGAGGTTGAGAGTTCGAGTTTCGTTAAAAACAATATTGTAAATCTATGTATATTTGCTTCAACTTTCGGAGAAAAAAAAAAAAAATTTCCAGTCAAAATTAATTTATAAACAATTTTTTTAAGTGGTCAAGGACAGGTTCATACCACATATAAAATCTGGGCATGTACTGGTTAAACCTTGTCCACTTAATCCTTCACCCTACATTAAGGAACAATAATAAATCTTATATATTCAAAACTTCACAGCAGAAAATTCATAAAAATAAGGCAGGAACATAAAAACTCTTGAAGAAGATGATTCACATATGGTCAGGCTTGGGCTTTATATGTGCTCCACTAGAACAGCCTGCACTGGTGCAAATCAATCTCAACCCTTGATGTGTAGAACAACTATATCCAACGTTAGAGAAACGCGCATCACGGTGCTGTGACTGAGATGGATTGCCAGCGAAAAGCCGATAACGATGAACTGATGTAATCAGACTCGAAATTTTATAAGAAGCCCAAAAATTTCTCACCGCCATTGTAAATTTCTAGTACTTAATGGATTCAAGAGCTAGCTTCAAGACTCAAGCTTAATGCCTGTATGAATATATGTATGTGCATATATATATATATATATATACATATCATGCATGAATCAAAGACCAAGCATTCAAATTGATTTTGAAGCTGGCCTTAGCTTTCTATATGTACTTTTAATGGCATTTTACGTGTTGGGAATGTTTGGGAAATGCTGAAAATGTGAAAGAAGATCAGAACACGCCAAGGGATATATGATGTAAAACGTTTTTGATGATGGGTAGGATTTAAAAGGTCACTTTAAGCTACAGATTTCCTTCCACCTAACAAAAAGCTAAACAAGTCACATGTTTCTTGCAAGTTAATGGTACTTCAAATCTGTTCCAAAGCCTTAACTACATGTGTGTACCTATATATTATCTATATCGATCTATATATGTTTGAAACTCCATGTCCAATCCTGCGTGTAATATTATCCACAAGCTCTCTGCAATCCGAAGCCTTAAGCACCGTAGAAATAAGGGGAATTCCCAAGTATTTTGATAGGAAGAGATCCACAATCAAACCCAGCAATGCCATCGATCATAACATTGATTAGGCTGTCCTTAATGTGCCTACCATGAATAAATGAATTTTGACAAGGGTCTATGTATAATGGAGAGAGAAGCTAGCTTGAGCTTGTAAGCTATAAGATTGGCAACGCATTTATATTGCAAAAAAAATTTAAATTTGCAAAAAATGAAATAAAAATGCATTTATATAAAAGTGCAATGTATGAATTGTTAATCTCCTTGAGCATCTCGCCATTTGTGAAGAAAGCCTTTATGGCCTCAGTGACTTCACAACCCACACAGTTTGCGGCCTTGTAATAAAAATGGGCATTAAAACCATCGGGTCAGGTGATTTCTCTTTATTAATTCGGAGACAGGAAACATGTTTGGATCTCAAGATAAGCTGAGAGATGAAATCAAGTGACTGGGAAGGACCTTATCAACGAAGGGCATAATGGATGATTTTCTTGGGTAAGGTTGGGTGAGCTACCCAATAGGATATGAAATCTTAGCATCAATCAGGTTCTCACTCACTACAGGATCCCTTAGTAGTACTTCAAAACTGTTCCAAAGACTTCCAAAAAAAGCTGGCTAGTTATTAATTAATATTCCTTCTAAAATTGATTAAAATTTTACATGCAATTTTTTTTTTTTGAGCCACCCCAAGCTACAAACCGAGAACGTTGCAACCTGCCCCACAACAACGACACCAATTAAATTAGGGTTATAATAGGGGTGTTGGAATTTGAAATCGAAACATATTAGAACCAAGCCTCTTACTTACCACCATCACCAAGCCCCTGGGTACATGGAAAAAAAAAAAAAAATACTCCTAATTAATATTGACTGAATATATTGTTGAGAGAGGAACTAGGTTTTAGGGACAGTCCAAACTGTCCCTAAAACCCCAAAAACCGTCCCTAAAAGTCAAATCCGTTCGTCCCTAAAAGTCGCGTGACAAAAGGTCTTTTGGGACGGTAAAAAGTGACTGTCCCTAAAGGTTGAGGCCATTAAGAATAACCGTCCCTGATACTGTAGTATTAGTGACAGTAACGCCGTCACCAATACTTTATTCTTTTTATTATATAATTATCTTGGAAATGGATTGAAACCGTCACTAATACATATATATATTTTTTCCCTTTTTCATTGCGATGCTTCATTTGTTAATTTGAAATTTTCCTGAAGTCCATAACAACATAAAAACTATTGATATCAAAATCTAAATTAATTTTTATATATTACAAAAGTAGAAACTACATCAAAAACACATAAATATGCATTATAAATTAATTTGTTCAAAGCGCATTTAAGACTGAAGTACAAAAATGTAATGTTAGCCAAATATTTAACCCAAAAAAAAAAAAAAAAAAAACCATAGATACTCAAGTGTCTTGATATAACGAAAAGAAAAACATAGCAGTGGTGGTTGATGATAGGAATCTTATGTTGTTGGCGGCAGCTGATACCACGGCAGGGAATCTGATGTCGACTGCTGCTGCTAGTATTGGTGGATCCATGGTGACAATGGTTACTGTTGTGCAAGGATAAATGTTTTCCTGCACTTGCGTAATTTGTTCCATTTGTTTGCATTTTTTCAAGTTGCTCTAACAATCCTTCACCTTTTTCCTCCCTCGTTCTAGCAGCCTCTTCAATATGTATGAAACCAAAATTAAGTTGAGTGCTTCTACCACCACAACTAAAGAAGAAAGTGGATGATATTCTCATTGCATGACCAAAACAACCTATAAAAAAATAAGCAGCTGTCATTAATGCTTTCCAAATAAACTAATTGTATCAGGGTCAGTGGAGTAGAATTGTTTTCCTGGATTCCAATTAGTGGAAAATTTTGTAATAAAAAAAATATGAATTCTTTTATTGTCGTACATTTTCCTAGCAAATAAACAGAGTGAAAGTGAAAGTGAAATTATTACTTGACAATTTGTATCATATTTGTTTAGGTTTTAACTTTACTATGTGCTAGTTCTAACCATTCAGTGCATGTTTCTTTATCTACTTTGCTATGGCTTTTAACCAGCTTGTACACAAGAATAGGTCAACAGACAACAAGGTCACGAAAACAATGAAAATTGAACAAGCAAGTAGCAGGACTAGCGAACCAGAAAAATTTAAGAACAAAACAATTCTTTACTCCTGCTTCTTTAGCTTAGAAAATCCTGTGACAAGCAAGAAATTTTGACTTAAAGATGAGTAAGAAACCATGAAAATAATACCAAACACCATAACACTTAAAAAGCACACCAATTTGCAAAACCATGGAGTAATGAATATTGTAACGTGAACGTAACAAAAATAATCAATTTGAAAAGTTTGGCACATGAAAGTACCAAGCACCATAACACTACAAATATCATGGAAGAGGCTAAAAATATCGTGCAATGTTTGGCACAGCTTCCACATAAAAAAATCCTTCACTGTAGAAGTTTTTGCAAAAATTAAATTCAAATATATATATGTGTGTGTGTGTTTACTAAATTCATATCTTAATTTTATTTATTTATTTTTTAACAAATCCATAAAAGTGAACTTAGACTGGGAGAAATTGTAGCCTCTACAGTCATCATCTTGGACATCAGTACATGTATACTTTTGTTGATCGCGTACAAATTTCTAGCTTAATATAATTTTTATTCAAAAGATTAAAAAACAATAGACCAAAAAATTTAATAAACTGAATTCCCCGAACTCATTTGTGGGAATGGTTTCCAGATAACTATATAGATTCACTGGTATTAATACACTCAATTAATGTTATCTATGTTCATATTGTTTTGCCTGACCAAGTCATCTCAATATTAAATGTTTACAATGACTACTTCTAGAGAATTTACTTAAGAAAACATTGTCCATTACATTATGAGAAAAATTACTTGTTTTATCTAGAAATCCAATTTGAGCTAGTCATCTCCATCAAACATATCAAGCACCAATGGATTTCTACTACCACAATTTCCACACGAGGATAAAAATAAAAAGAATAAGAATGAAAAAAGAGGGATAGACAAATAGTATTTTGTGTATAAGAAGCAAAAAAATAAAAAAATAAAAAAGGAAGAGAAGAGAGACATACATTAGGGCTCAAAAAACCTGTGCGATTTCCCTAAGCGATTTAGTCACAGCCGACAAGCTCTTTACAAATCTGTAAAAAAAAAATTACCGAAAGATCAAAAAATCGAAAGGAACTAACATATGGCAAGATTGAAGAGGTTAAACCGAAGAGGGTTTTCTGAATATCGAAGAAACCCTTAAAAAAAAAAAAAAATCATGTTATACCTGATGATCAGTGATTCGATGAAGATGAGCTACTGATTTTTTAATGACCACCATTGATTAACAGAAGCTAATGGAACGGTTGAGGGCGGTACGGTGGAAGAGAATGGCTTGGAACATTTGAGAACAGAAGACTCTAGATGAAGTGTAATGGTAGCTAGGTTTATCAAATTTTGATGATTAAAACGACGTAGTCTAATATCCCATCGCTATTTTGAAAAATTAAATTTCTTTATTTATTGTATTTTTACAAGTACAAGTGGGCCAAACAGGGCACAAGCAAAAAAATTAGGCGCTAAAGGTAACGCACAATATTTTTTTAGGCATTGGGGACGGTATTTTATGTACCGTGCCCAAAAATAAGGTCATTAAGGACAGTTTTTAGGACTGTCCCCAAAATACTATGACTAATTGCCTAATTTCTTGCAGTAGGGGTACACTTTTTTTTGTAGTGAATATTATCATAATTATTCAGTGAAAAAATTATATCTTAATTAAAATTTGGGGTATTTTTGTAATTAGTCAGTTATAAAAAAAAAAGGGGCATTTAGCTAAATGAATAGGAAAAAAAATTAATATGGATTTAAAGAAGGGCAAAGTAATTTACTCGATATGAAAAAAAAAAAAAAAAAAAAAAGAGCCCGTGTCATTTTAACATTGGAAACATAGGCGGAGCTTTTAATGGGTTATAGCCCAGGTCCAATTTTTTTTATAAAAAATAGTACTACTGTTTTTATCAGCCCAGTCCATACGTAATCAATTTTTAGAACTACTATTTCTCTTCTTATCATCCCAATCCAGCCCAATCTATAGTACTACTCTACCTCTTCTGATCAGCCCAATCCATATGTGATATGTAATTAATTTTTACTACTCTTCAGCCACTTCCTCTCAACACGCGATGGTATCACTCATAGAGTTTGGCCAGCCTGTTTGGGGTCTAGCAAGAAAATTGCAGAGACTTGAAATGGGGTCCAATTTATCATCTTTTTTAACAAATATATTTGATTTGATTACGAGAATATCATCATTTTTTGGTCAATTTTTTAATAGACATAATATACGTTTATGATAAGAATTATTGTGTTTACCTTCAATTTTTTTTATTATTTTTAGCCCATACTTTGCAATCCTGATTATGCCCTGATTGGAAAATCATT